TAATCGGTGTTGCCGCCAACGACAGCAAGGATAATGGTTCGGGAACTCTTCATATATCGGTCGCAAAGGGTCTCAATCGTCTTGATGTCGTCCATCGACTGGTCGTTATTGGCGTTTTTGACGAGACCTGGAAGATCGACGAGGGTGAGCAGGGGCATGTCGGGACCTCTCTTCTCAACCACCAGAATGTCGCGAGCGGCGAATCTGCCCGGAATGTTCTTGGGGGCAATCATTTCCACCGCAGATCTCATGAGAGACTCAAAGGACATGTCTGTGTCGACAGCTCCGCCAAATTGTTTCAATCGCTCCTGGTCTCTGAAAGGCTTGTTCTTGTCGGGGATGATGGAGACGTTGAGACTCGCTTCGGCCGACCTGCGCAGGCGGATCTCGGTTGCGAATCGTGTGCAGGCGCCGGCATCACGAGGGAACGGGGTGCCAGTGATGGCCTCGAGGACGGAACTCTTTCCCGCCGACTGGTCGCCGACGACGACGATCTGTGGCAGCTTGACATTGTCGAGCTGGGCAAACTGCAGCTTGTCGATGAGCTCGAGAAGGCCGCGCTGCTCATTCGCCATGTCCGCCGTCCCCAGCGCCGAGTCGATATTTGGAGCCATGTCGCGTTCGGGTCTGATAGAGACGTTAGTTGGACGGTGACGACTGGTTTCTGGAACCTCGTACAATGATCCCATCACAGTCTGGTCTCGATGTATGTGTGATGTGGGTGATTGCGCAAGGAAAAGTCTTGGACCTCGAAAACAGGGTGCGAATACAACACGGGGAAGGGAGAGCCTTTTAAAGAGGAGACTACTGTTCGCCCAGCCCAAAGACCAAAGAACAAGCTTATGTGGGATTACGCAGTTACGCAGCGCAAGCCTGCATTACGGCGCGAGACGTGTCTCGACCGAACATCACATGCCCCCCAGGTGTGAGTGTGCCCAATAGCCTTGAAAGGGTGCCTGGATCTGGGCTCCAAGTCGTCGCAAAGCCGCGTCGTCAGCCCCCAGTGACGACCTTGGGGCGTGGGGAAAAGGGTAAAGCTTCGCCTACTTCTGCGTCGCCACCGGGGAATACGGCGGTACGGCGACATTAGAGTTGGCATTCCATGGATGTTGCTTGGCTTGAGGCAGCCCAGCAAAGAAGAGGCATCCGTTTGGGCCCTTTTTTCGCCCGCCTACGGCAATACGGATACTGCAATTTCGTCTGTCACTCGGCGTCGGATACCAAAGCCGAGACCAGTCAAGGAGACTGGCAGATTGGATACTGTGGGCTAGAGCCTTTAGGACCACTCGGTCTCCGTTATGCAGGGCGAAAAAGACTTTGAACAATAGCGAGAAAGGTGAAAGCAGTCCCATGTGCGCAAAGCCACCGAACTTTGGGACGGGGACCAACGCGTTTGTGTCGAGTTTGGACGAATGACGTCGGTAGCTCGGCAGTGGCACAGCCTCATTTTCCCTGTCTGGCACATCCAGGAAGCCCGCCGTAAGAGGTGGAGGGCCATGGAGGCACACTTTTTCCTGTCAAGCTTATTGAATCGGCCGCCGCAAAGTCGCACTTCGTCTCGCTTCTTCGCCTGGTTTCGCCCTACGCATGACGAGCGTACGCGTCGGGAGGCACTCGAAGCCCCAATCAGAGGCGGGTATGTCCGTCTAGGCCGGTGTGAGGAGGATTTTGAGCCAGCCAACGTGGTGCTAGAGACGACGACGTTCAACGCCAAGATGTTGCTGGTGGTTGATTTTTCGCCACTCGTTGGACTGCAAGGATCAGCCGGTGAAACAATTGGAGTCCAGTGGCTGTGTGAAGGAAACTGTGGCTAAGCAAGCACAAGTGAGGAAGTTTTGAATGATTAGGTAAGTGAGAATGCCCCTCTATGTGGCTATGCTACGGGCTTTCTCGAACTGTGGCGAGTGCTCCGGAGATGTGGCTGAAGCTACCCTCCCATCCTCCATCTCCAAGGTCCGCCGAGACCCTCGAACATCCCGTCCTCGATCGCTCTCAATCCTATTTACCTGTATAGCTACATGACTCAGGTCCAGTAGCGAATCTATCCAAGCATCTTTACTCATATCTAATGCTCACTTCAGCAACCCCAAACCCCCCAAGGCATCAAGCATAACGGCGTTCGGATCTTTAAGGAATAACAGAGGTCAAGGAAGTATGGGCGAGCGAAGGCGGGGGACGAAGTCGTGAGAAAAAAGTCAAAAGTTCAGGACTCGAACTTGTGAGGTTCGAATACCTATGAATCTCGGTTGTTGTGCCACGTCTTGATTCTACCGGTTGTATGCCGCTCGGCTACTTAGGGTGATGGCTTTGAGATGAAAGTTGAATTATACACAGCTGTATTTAACCAGAGGGAGAACGGAATTCATATAGTCCATCTCAGTATCTAAACTCTTGCCCAACAAGCTTCTCGCTCAGAGCCCACAGCATCTCCGCATCGACTTTGCTCCTAGCCCAAGGATATACCTCCTCCTTCCACGGGTCGGCAACACGACAATCAGTAAGAAACTCCCCATTCTTGTCCTTTAGCTCCGGGTCAAACGCCGCAAACACGTGCGTCGCGGCACCCTGGTCCATATCCTTGGGCTCGATATCCCCCATTCCCCACATATACTTGCTCCCCACCACAACATCAGCCTTACGCAGGGCTTCGAGGAACCCGGGGAAGTCATGCGCCTCGTGCGCGGCAAGGTTCGTGGGGACGTACCCCGGGCACAGACTAAACGCCATCACACCCTTTGATGGGCCCAGCCTCTCGGCAAGGGCGATGGAGAAGAGGCTGTTGGCCGTCTTGGACTGCCCGTAGGCCATCCACTTGTCGTAGTGCTTTCCTCCGTTGAAGTTGTAGTCCGTCCAGCGCACGTGGCCGAGCCTGTGGGCGTTGCTGCTGACGTTGACGATGCGCGGGGGGGAAGGGGATGCGAGGATCTTGAACATGATGAGATTTGTGAAGAGGAAGTGGCCTAGATGGTTTGTCTGGAACTGGCTTTCGAAACCGTCTTTTGTGAGGCTGTAGGCTGAGGCCATGATGCCGGCGTTGTTGACGAGGATGTCGATGTGGGGGACGTCTGGCCATGAGGTCACTGTCTCTGCTGCTTTTCGGACGCTGGCGAGGGAGGTGAGATCTAGAGTCAAGGGCTTGAACTTGATCTCGGGGTGTGTGATTCCGAGTTCGTCGATGAGGGGTTGGAACTTTGAGGGTGAGCGGCCGGCTAGGATGAATGTGGCTGGCCTAGCTACGGCGACTTGTTTGACGAAGCTGTCGCCGATGCTGCCTGGAGAGACGCCCGTGATGAGTATCGTCCTGCCGGCGATGTGGGGGGCGTAGACGGGCACCAGCTCGCTCGCTTTGGTTTGGTTGTTGAAAGAAGGAGACATGGCTTTGGTGTTCTGTGTCGTACTGAACAGTTTAGTAGTGCTTAGTTTGGGAAGAGAGAGTAAGGTATTGCCTGTAACTGCCCCTCGGACAAGATGATGAGAACGCAGGAACGGCCTCTATATACCCACCAGTCTCAAACGATACCTAAAATAAACACTCATAAAGCATGTAAGACGCGAGGCAGCCCGCACTCACTGGAGGCATGCTTGGAACGGACAGCCTTGAAATTGGTTCACCCGAAGATCACGACGCGTAAGATAAATGGGCTGCTCATGTTGCTTCGGGGCCATAGTTACCCGTTCTGCTACATGAACCCATCAGAAACCCCTTACAAAGGATACGGTGCCGGAGATAGGTATCCTTCATTGGGTGTTGGCAGTCTTGCTTTTCCTATATGGGAGACCTCAAGCACGGAGTTAACGGCCCTAAGAGATCATACCACCGTCATTAAATATTGTCAACGGGCTATGTTGGCACTGTCGGAGAAGTACCTGCGGCACAGATCATCTATAGTCATCTTGGAGCGCACAGAGAAGACATGTGGTAATATTGCCAATCGTGAAAGATTGCAGTCACATCCCCTTTAAAGCCCAACCTGGAAGTACACCAGTCCGTTTCGCTAGCCTTCACGCATGTACAATTGTGTCCCTATTTTATCCCAACGCCCATTTATCCATCCCAGATTCCGTCCCTTGAAACACCCGAAAAAAAAAACCATCGACTCTTGTTGTCGATGAACGCCTGCTGTTGTGCGGCGTTCGACGCGGCCTGACTGTGCGCTCAGTTCTGACGGCCGTGCCCGCTACCCCACGTCGCGCCGTTGCTACTCGGAGCGGGTGCGGGGCCCGGCATGTTCGCGCCGCCGGCGGAAGCCGAGGCCGACAATCGGTAGGCGGCAATGTTGTGGAACGGCGCCGCCGAAGCAGGGGCAGTCAGCCAGGTGTTGAGACTGTCGGATTCATTGGGTTGATTGTAGGTGAAGACGTTTGAGAATTGTGCTTGCCTGGGCCGGGGAATGGCGGTGTATTGAGAGGGGGAACGAGCTTGGTTGGAAGACATCTTGGCGGCTGTGAGAGCAAGACTTGGGTGCTTGTTCGTCTTGGCTACGACTGAGATGATATGTGTTGTGTGAATTGCAATGAGAGATTGAGCGGCCCAGGGCAGGGGAAAAATCGCTCGACGGACCAGCTTTTGTATTCAAAATGAATACTCCTCATGATCCTCGCTCCTCACCATCATGAGGAGTGAAGCGGGAGGGTCCTCCTCCTCTTCCTCTTCTTCCTCCTCGCCCTCCTCCTCACCGACAAAAACATCAGGGGCTTTTCAGCGGGGTCTTTTTGCGGTTGACTCTAAGGTATCGAAGAGAATAATAAAAGTGTGAAAGTCGTTGCCCATGATGATGATGAGGTCTGGGAGCCGGTGATGATTGCCTCCTATCACCGCCGCCAGACGAGAGACTGGGCCGCCGCTCAAAAGAACCCTGCAATTCAAACCAGGCAAAAGTACGCAGGTACTTTTGACTCCCGAAGACTAGTGCAAGGCACGGCCGCTGGTCCTTGGTCCCTGATTGTCCATTGGATCAGGAGGAGTGCGAACGGATGTGAGATAGCGGTGCAAAAAGACCATGACAGAATGCGAGCGGAATGGAAAGTTCGATGATCGACCGCTAAAGGTCTGGCACTTTGTCACCGAGCTTTTTGCTGAATCCTTCTGGCGTGGACTTTTGCCGCTTGGCCGCCGTACGGGTCAAGTTCCAGTCAACAAGAATATGGCTAGCATGGGTCATGCAGGGTACTTCTGCCTTGAGTTGGGCTTGATTGGCCGCCTCACCGAGGCCGCAGTCCGAGAACACTATATTTCAGAGATGGTCGCTTGCGTGGCAGGTCATGACTAGCAGGTTGGTACACGCTTTAACATGTGAGCCTGGTGGCTCTCTTCATGGTTATGTGTTGGGAAATCTATCCGCAACTCGCCTGTAAGTTCAGACAAAGTCGGCTGACCTTTAGTGCAAAAGAGCCGCACAAGCAGCACAACGCCAAGAGGAGCCTTTTGGCTGGAGAAAATCCCCAGGTATCTATTCTCTCGCTCCTTTTCAGGGTTGATAATACCGTAGTTACCGTAGACTACCGACATATTGTACACACCACATGCTCGGCATGTGACATCCGTCTATTTTTCGCTGACGCTATGAGAAGATCAACTCCGCTCCCATCCGACTGTTCTGAAGACTTCCGCGAGCGCACCAAGAACTGTATCTACGATAGACTTGACGAAACCTTGGCGCTTGCTCTTGCCAGAGGAGTCCCGCAAGGGGTCTTCGCTTCCCATCGTAGGCAGGACGTTGTCGCTAGCGGACAAGCTCACGAAGAGAGCAAAGGGAATGAGCCAAACGCAGAGCCCAAAGTATGAGGCGATCTCGGTGAAGCTCGGGACGTCGGGTTGATCGTAGTAAGAGTGCATGTTCGAGTACGATCTTTGCTGCGCGGCAGAGAAGTGGCGGAACCAAATGTAGTGGTTGACGAGGACCAGAACTAGACAAGCAAAGGTTAGTTCCGAACGTGGATGTATAGCAGCACAGAAACATACCACAAGAGGCCAGGAACAGAGGGTCAGTCAGCCTAACGAAAGGGAATCGGCGCATGTTGCCGAGGTAGACGACATGGGAGACAACTCCCATGAGGGTCAACTTGAAAGGAAATCGGTCGACGATGCATAGCAAGAGCTGCAAAACAATAACCGAGTAAATCAACTTTGTAAGAAGGCGCTTCGCAAAAACGGTATGCTCCTCGACAAGCTCCGATAAGTAATACAGACCGGAAGCTAGACACAGGGGTGTTAGTAAGGAAGCATCCTCAACCCGAGTGCCAAGGGAGAATCCGGGGGATCAGGACGAACCGATGGCGAGGGTCAGAAAGCAGAAGCCCACGATGGAGCCAAGGTAGCCGACCAAAGGTAGAATCCACATGGTGACGGACGTTATGTTTAGAATGTCGTCGTAGTATGTCGCATGAAGTGAAGTGAGAAATGAAAAGAGAGAGTGTGTGAAGTTGTTGAATTATTGGTCTGCCGGGGGAGGAGGGTTGTGCACAGAAGCTCCCTACATTGTCTCTTGAAGCTATGACGGAGCTGGCCAGGGCGCGTCGTGAAATCCACTTTGCGAAAGCGTGGCCTCTGCGCGTCGGGTAGGTACCGCAGTGGACGGGCACTCGGGAGATTCCATGATCCGCGGTGAATGAGATAAGCGATCGTTTGATTGGACGCATCCTCCGGCCTTCGACCTCACTAACCTGAGTACCTTAGTGTAACCCCCGGCTGTCGCAGGGGACCTTATCCTTATCGATAATGATTGATGGTGGTTGTCGGGTTTCTTATCGATAACTATCCGTGACCCCCCAGTTGTGAATTTTTGAGGATTTCTCACGACACACAATTCACCGCCCAATTCTTCGATGCGCCGGCTTGACGACAGACTGCCTTGAAGCGAATATTGACGGGAGGCTCCATTCAAGATCGGCCGAGTTCAATCTTCCAACAGAAACTGCCCAATATGTCGCGCCCTGAGGATACCCTGTAGGCTACAGGCCTCCCCTCCAACCCCGCCATGTGCCTCCAGCTGACCAAATCTCTCTGCTCTCAGTGCGGCCGACATCCACTACAATGACTCCGAAGCCCGCAAGTACACGACGAGTTCTCGTATCCAGAATATCCAGGCGTCCATGACCCGCCGTGCTCTTGAGCTCCTCGACCTCAAACAGCCTTCCTTCATTCTCGACGTTGGCTGCGGCAGCGGTCTCTCCGGCGAAATCCTTACCGCCGAGGGCCCTGAAGATGGTGGACCACACACCTGGGTCGGCATGGATGTCTCACCATCCATGCTCGATATTGCTCTCCAAAGAGACGTAGAGGGCGATCTCCTCCTCGCAGATATCGGACAGGGCGTACCATTCCGCGCCGGCTCCTTCGACGCTGCTATCAGCATTTCCGCAATTCAATGGCTTTGCAACGCCGAGAGCAGTGATACCTCGCCCGAGGGCCGCCTCACCAGATTCTTCAACGGCCTCTATGCGTCATTACGCAGAGGAGGTCGCGCCGTGTGCCAGTTCTACCCCAAGAACGACACCCAACGCAACATGATTACTCAGGCCGCAGTCAAGGCCGGCTTCGGCGCCGGTCTGCTCGAGGATGACCCCGAGACAAAGAACGTCAAGCTCTATCTTGTGCTGACTGTCGGCGGTACTGCAGAGGGCGGTCGCGGAGGAGACATCACAAATGTCGTTGATGGTATGGACAACGTCGATGTCGAGGACGCGAGGAGGAAGGCCAGTCAGCAGAGTGGCAAGGGTGACATCAAGAAGGGAAGTAAGGCGTGGATCGTCAAGAAGAAGGAGCAGATGGAGAGGAAGGGAAAGGTCGTCAAGTCTACCTCCAAATACACTGGGCGCAAGCGCAGGACCGCTTTCTAGACGGACGGTGCTTGGGCGGGGTTTCGGGGATGTCGCATGGCATGGCGTTCAGGGGTACAACGGAAAACTTGTTTTAAGAGATTGAAAATTGAATCAGATACCCTCATTTAACTCTCAGAGTCTCTCTTCTCCATCCGAATCTGTCCTCGTCACGAATTCTGGACTTGGGGAGACCAATGATCCCGGGTTTGCAATACGGAGGGAAAAAGGTATCTGACGACACCATGAATTGAACAACGGATGCAGTAATACCTCGGGAGACTTCATCGAGGTAGACAACAACTCAAGCATCCAACTCATGATGTGACAGATGACAGATGAGGTAACTTTGCATCCTATGACCCCTTTCCCCTTCATCTAAAGACCGAATCCACCAAGGTATGTAGCCTGATACGGTATGATCCTTTACGACTTGCCTGTGCCATAGAGCGCTTTCCGAATGCCAGACGTCTTTAGAATTCCACCTTTCCAGCTGAGCCATGGATTTGATAAGATACGATTCTTTCCTCTTCACCAATAAGATGAGATAAACAGCATCTAGTAAGCGTAGATAACAGATCCACAGGAATATTTGTGCAGCTCATTTACGATACCACATTCTCGACGTTCTTCCCTGTCGCATCTTCCGTTGTAGTTGCATCATTCCATAAAGCAGCGCCTCGCTCGTGGGCGGGCATCCAGGAACATAGATATCCACCGGCACCAAGCGATCACAACCACGAACTACAGAATAACTGTAGTGGTAATACCCTCCGCCGTTGGCGCAGCTCCCCATACTAATGACCCAACGCGGTTCCGGCATCTGATCGTAGACTTGGCGGAAAGCGGGCGCCATCTTATTCGTGACAGTACCGGCGACTATCATGACGTCTGACTGTCGCGGTGATGCTCGGAACATGAAGCCGAATCGGTCTTGATCGTATCGTGGCCCGGCTATTTGCATCATCTCTACGGCGCAACATGCGAGGCCGAATGTCATTGGGTACATCGATGACTGACGACCCCAGTTGGCGAGCTTGTCGAGGGTGGTTCTGGCGAAAGATTGATTAGTAGCAACCCAAGGGTGATGCGCCTGGGACTGGGGTACATACACAGCATATTCCACAAGGGACTTAGGCTGTGATTGTGTAGGAAGGGCGATCTCGCGACGGTTGGGGCGTGGAGAGACAGATTGCTGGTAGCTAGGGGAAGTTGCTATGCGTCGAACGCTGGCCGGTGCTGGAAATGATCTCGTCGCGAGTCCCACGGCGCGGGGCACCTGGCTTGCAAGAGACTTTGACATAATGTACAGAAGAAAGAACTTTTCCTTCCAGAAGTAGGAGCAATGAAGATTGGAATAGACGGAGGAACGGAAGGGGTAGCGGGGCTTCTTAAAGCCCGGGAAGTACGTATGGGTCCCAAGCTCTGATACTCAGGGCTAGTGGCAAGGCATATAGGAAGACTAGAACCAGGGGATAGGATCTCAGGGATTTACTAACTGGGTTTCAATTAGAAATTGAAGAGAGCAGCCAATTCGACTTACAGCTTCGGGAACACGAAGCTTCCATGAGGCTTCAGCTGATGCTTGTCATGGTCCACATCTATGCATCTTGCGAAGCCAGGCCTCAGATAAGTTTACCAGAACCAAATAATCCAGAATAAAACGAGAGCTCAGATACAATGGTATTCTCAAATACAATTATGAGATCCCTCATCGAGTTGTTCAAGAGCGCGAGCTTGTAGGCCTTTCACGCAATTCGTTGATCATGATTGACCCTCCGTCTAAGTCGAAGCGCAGCCCCACTTCGTTCTCGTCGCGAGTCCGAAGTGGGGCCAAGTGATCCGAACCCGCCTGCGCGGGCCCCGTAAATCCGTCGTCAGTAACTCAACCGCAAAGGCAACCCGTCCGCTTCATTCCTTTGACGGAACAACAATCTGATCAAGACAACCCGTTATGCGTTCTACCAGCTCTAAGACTTGCCGGTGTCGATGCAGCTAGATCCCTCGAGCAGTAACCCTTGACCTCGGCTGCAACCCACTGACGCTTGCCGCCGGACCCCTAACTACTTAATACTTAGTGCCCGCCAAAGCTGTTAACGCCAGATATTGACATGGAAAACCTTCCTTCCTTGAGAAATGGGCCTAAGAGAGCTCACAAGAAGGTTCGAACGGGATGTGTTGCCTGTAAGACGAGGCACGTAAAAGTAAGGCAGGCGGCCATCCAAGGCCAAGTTGAGCCCATATCTAACTTCTATTCGGGACAGTGCGATGAGAGAAGACCACAATGCAGCCAATGCACCAGGCAAGCTATTGCCTGCAGTTACCCTTCACCAAAACCATACCCTCCCACGGAGACTACGACATCAACTCTGTCTCATAGTCTTTCCTTCAGGGACGGAGCACTTGATCTCAATATGCTTGATCTCGAACTCATACATCACTGGACACTCTA